CGCGCTTATGTTAACCGACTTCTGGTTTCCCTGACACGGGACCCTCTTATTTATGGCCCTGCCGCCAGCTCCTAACCCCGCCTTCCGTGGGGGAACAAGCACATCATTGGAGAAAGTTACTGTACCGGAGGAGAGGTTACCTTAGCCAGCGCTGCAGTGTTGCTGTTGTGAGTCAGTAGGACTATTAATAATCAAAAGCCTTTACAAAAACATCTTTTACAAGTATCCGAAGCCGATTTTATGATCCTCAGCAGAAGGTTTTCTCTTTTTCTAGTAGTTTTCCTTCCAGTTCGAATCTGAAAACTAGCTCTGCTACCTTCTCTATTTTGGTCAAGTAAACAAAGCTGTCCTTTTTTAAGCTCTGTTTTCATTTGCAGTCCCTGATCTTCCCCTGCGCTTCTGTGCGTTTTCTTGAAATGACGTCCCTGTTTGCAGGCTGGACAGGACTTCATTCACGAAAAGGCAGCCTTTCAATGCTCCGTTTGTGAGCCTCCAACAATTGCTAGCTACAAGGAATAATGAATTAAAAATAAAAGCTGCAATAAAAGGCAGTTTTTTATTATTTCGTCATAGATTTAATTTAAAATAACAAGGGAAAATATACCAGTGGTGTATGCTGGAGGCACAGCTCTTTCTCTGCGTTCCTTGTTAATGTAAGCCCTGATCAACACGGATCTGTATCTGTATTTTCTGGCTCGTGTTATACATGGAACACAGACACGAGAGTTTGGAAATCCTTTTCAGCTTCAGATCTTTTGTCGCTGGAGCAATCTGGTATGTGTAACATGTATACACCCTCTTTTTATGAAGAAGTTACTTCATGAGGGAGCAACATAAGGTTTGATGAGAGAGTAATAAAATGCATATCTAGATTGACATGCAGGACAGAACTGCTTAAAGGATTGCGTATTTTGTCACCTCACAAATCGAGCCTAGGGACTGAAAATTCATTAACATAATTTGAACCATTTCGATCCAGACTCGTGAACCTGTATTTTCTTGAGGTTTAGGTGCACACAAAGCAGCTTCTTATCTTATATAGATGTGTACCTGTTTCACAGCACCAAATTTATGTTCTTTTTGAACAGTAAGAGGTCAGTTTTACAACTATTAACGCTCAGATTCTTCCTCCATCCCTCCCCCAAACCTCTACTGGATAAAAAGAACCGAACACAAATATTCGGTATTATGAGAATTGGGTTTCATTTTTAGATTTTTAGATCTTCTTCAAAACTGAGCCAGAAATGTTGTACGCTATGTCCTGATTTAGCTCAAGCAGCCATACTTTGATTTTTATTTTTTCAGTCTGAAGTTTTGGCTTCAAATCATAAGGTTGGATCCACATTCAGAACTAACACCTGAAAATAATTTAGACCTGTTAAAATCTCCATTCTTACCTGGAAGAAACTTAATTCTTTCAGGAAGCCTTTCATGTGAGCGAAAAGATAAAAAAGATGTGAGGCTGAAACCTTAGGCGGGAAGTTCAGGCTTCAAGAAGGCTGCAGAAAACCCCCAAGCAGGTATCTTAATGGCCCCTGTGGCCAGTAGTTCTAGGACTATTGTTTTTCAAGTCTCACTTAGGGCAGCAGGATTGGAAAGGGATGAAGGAGTTAACTGAGAGCCATTGATTGGTTTCCGGAGGACACCACATGGCTGCTGCTATAGATGATCTAAATAGATGAATTTGATTTCAGTAAAATTCAAATAATAAAGAAATATGCTGGGCAAACTGCCGTCTCTAACATCGAGCATGCAGGTCTACCTATCTGACGGTTACCTAAGGCACGTTTGGCCTAAGATTGTCCAGAATAGCACATGGAACTACCATGCTCTGCATGTCTTAAAGACCTTTCTATGTAGTGCAATCACACTAATTGTACAATCATACTAAAAATATAATACTCGTAACAAAATTTAAATAATTTTGTGAAAAGTGAAAAATTCATTCACAATTGTCTTGTAAACATAGTTGAGAATTAAATACTTATGTTCAACTCAATGTGCAGAAGCATAAACATGCTAAAACAATCTCGTATGGTAGTTGTACCATTCTAATTATGATTAATGCAGCTGCCCTTGGAATAATTTTGAAGAGTCTCTCAAAGCCATCTGTACATAGGTGGAATATTTAAAGCACTTAGAGGAGCAAATGTCCATAGGAGAGGTTCTTATTCAAGAAATACATTCCCTGTAGGTCTCTCCAGACCCAGTCAGCGTTGGAAGGGATAGGCTTGGAACATGCTGTATGCAACAAGACCTTTCAACAGTAAGGTGGATTTTAGTGAAACTTGTGGCTGGAAGAGTTTTCTCAACCCTAATGTGAAACCACTGGTCACAACAGCAGCAGGAAAAGCGGATGTGCACACCAGTCAGTCCTATGGTCCATGGACTTGCTTGTTCAAAGCCGGGACTTGAAACTGTCTGTTCTACTTCCCACGCGAGTCTGATTAATGTGCAGTGCTTTGGTAGGTGTATCTCTCATTTCTTCATGACAACATTGATACAATCTTATCACTAAAATGTGAAAGGCCAACAATTTTTGAAACCTCAGCGGAGCGCCTGTTTTCTCATAAATCTTCATTCTGAAGCGGTAAGTTTTGTCAAATTGCTATCAGAGTTTCGACAGAGACGTATTTACATCCTAGCACTTGAAAGGGATTTTAATAAGCCTGGAAATCCCTACACTCAAGAGCATGCTGTCACAAATGCAAGAAAATGCATTTTTAGTCCATTTATCAGAGGAAACAGATATTACCTGTAGATTCTACTGATACCCGAGCAGCAGCACTTGAGTACCTGTTACCTCTGAACAGTATCAGCAACATTAGGTCTTAGCTTGAAGCTGCATTGTGCTTTTTTATATTGTATATTGTTAGTATTTTTCATTGCATTAAGAGAAGTACTTTTAGAAGATTTGAAAGAAACCCTAAGCTCAGCACCCATTCTGTATTACGTCTGATCTTGACCTCGTAAAATACCAAGATTATTCCCAAAAGACTTAGACATATTCCTTGACTAATTTTTAAGCGCAATAAACATTTATCTTAAATAACAGTGGCGAAATGACAGCCCATGTTTTATAAATATAAGCAGACTGAAGCAAAAGAAACACTTGGTCTTTTTACTCTATCTATAAATGGACTAACAGTACAGAGCTTCTTTCGCCACACTATGTTATGATGTCCGTTTTCCTTTAGTTTGGTAAGTAAGCCATGATATCATAGCAAATCATGTCGTAACACTTGTGAAGGATGGAGTATTGCCCACTCGTCGGATATATTCTGATACAGCTAACACTTGCTACTGAGAAACAGAAAACTTCATTGATCAAGGGATGTAGTCACTGATTCCTTTGATTCATTATTGACCCAGTAGAAGAAACACCTTCTCATTTCTGCCTAGCTAAATAAGTCTAGTGTTGAACAGCCGATTCCTGTTTTCTGGCAAGCAAATAAAGAGGATTGGGGGTAAGCCACTGTATTTGTTGATGTGTACAATATATAGGCACAAGGCAGGAAACCTGACTACAGTCAAATACATGATCGGCTTCATCTCGTCTTGGTGGGAATTCTAATTTTGCACAGGAATCCTAATTCTGGGGGGGCTTTTTGTACTGTGGGTTGTCATGATCCTTGTTAATTTTTACTGTGAAGCATTAGCATCTATCAACAGCATTCTGGTCATTAGCGACCATCATTGTTTCTTTCTCTTCTAACAGCCCCCCAAGACGCGTATTAAAAACACTAGGTCTCCTTCTGTTGGATGCCATACGTGCAGAGTCCCATGGTGCGAGCTACTGCTTCCCTGAACTCCAGAGCAAACTCATGCTGCCTTTATGATATTTTCATCTCTTCCCCAGGAGTTACTGGGGGTAAAAAGTGACAAGTGAGGTGCATCACCCTTAGAGCTGACATGGGGAGAGGCAGCGCTGCCAGGTCACCTCTGCTCCCTGCTTCTTCCCTGCCCTTCCTCACCGCGTCTGCTCTCGCCTGTCAGCCTTTTGCAGCGTGGCAGGTCTGCGGGACAGCCCGCTGACAGCACTTCCTTTGTGTGGCCTGCGCTGGAACCTCACCTCCTAGCACGGCTGTCTCCCCTCTGTATCTCGCTTTTCGTAAGAGGCGGCACCGTGCATTCAGTTTGTAGATCCTGGGTATCGTGGGTGTTCCTCTGGCAGGCTCGACTTTCATACTTCGAGTATCAGTATGAGTTACGTCGAGTATGGGTCACGTCGAGTATGGGTTACGTCGAGTATGAGTTACGTCAAGTATGAGTTACGTCAAGTATGAGTTACGTTAAGTATGAGTTACGTCAAGTATGAGTTATGTCAAGTATGAGTTACGTCAACTATGAGTTACGTGAACTGTGTTGCGTAGGGGTTGTCCGTACGGCTTTTTCAAAGGCTCTTTGATGATAGTGGGGTCTGCAACAGGCACCTTGCTGTCCCAGCCAGCTGTCGAGCAGTTAGAATCTACGCGGTGCCTTTTGGTTGGAACTGCCTGCTCTGTACAGCAGCTGCCAGCAGCCTACAGGGTACAATTTTTTAGCTGTATCGATCCTATTCTCTCTCCATTGTGGTCAGCAAATCTTATTTCAGAACGATAGCAGGCAGGATTCTCCACAGTAATAGTTTGTTGCCTTCTTGATGCTTTCCTAGAGTTCTTTTCTCCCTAGTTCTCATTTGGCATTGCATTTGTTTTTCCTAAAAACGACTTCCAGTCTACCTGATGCAGTCACCGTACACATCCTCTGCAAAACCCGTACAATCATGTAGAAAGCTCAGAATTAGAATAGTATTTCACAAAATAGATGGGCTTTTGTGGCCTTTAAATTCTGGTGCCTCCACATGTACTATATCCCACTTCAAAAGGAAGGGTACTTACAGCTGTCACTTCCTAAATACTACAGTAAAAAAACCCCACACATTTTATAGTCACAGCAATTTGGGTAATTTTTTTATAAGGTGCTAAAATGTTTCTTGATTTTAGAGGCAGCAGTTTGCTAAATAGTTGGTAGAAGGATAGGAATGGAATGAAACACTTCCATGCCGGAATTAAAATTGAATTTGTCTTTGCGAAGATTTTGTCCTCTCTGGAATTCCTACCTGTGGGAACTGCTCTTTTTGATTCCCTGCCATTACACTTTATGTTTTTCTTGTTAATGACAATTCCTGGTTTCGTGCCGTACCTGTATTGAAAATAGAAGATTTTTCTACCATCAGATCGCTTCTGTGTTGATGTAGATAACTTTTCTTTTTTAATTGAAAATCAGTTATGGGGCCAAAGGTATTTCAGATCGATTTCCTGGTTCAGATTTACTTGATAGCGTCACTTTATACACTACGGTCACATCAAAACTTGATTTCAGTGAATACCAAGAGAACTGGTTTCTTAAGGTCCCGTCCTCTGGCGTGGTGCTGTACAAGGGGTGCTCAGAATACCCAATTTTGCATCAAGTCCCATTAATTGCAGTGGGATTTTAATTGGCCCAGCGTTTCCCTGGGACCAATCCATATTGCACGTACTTAGTTTATAAGCCATTTTAACCCTCTCTTTTGAATAAAGAAATCACAATTAAGGTGCATTTGCCTGTCTTTGGTGACCTGGCACACTAATCAGATTAAGGCTCTACTCTTTTTACCCACTTGAGCTTTTAGATTTCTTTTAATGCCTATTTATCTAAAAAGATAATACAAAGCGTACCAGATTCTCCTTCGGCTTGCCGCTTGTGTAAAGGGGGTATAATAAACCGTTGCTCCATAGAGCTAGTGTTTTACGCCTAGTTTTTTCTGTCAAGGTGTCTGTAAGGTAGTGGAAAATCTGCCTCGACATCTCCAAATTGTTCTTCGCGTTTGTTGAGAAGAAGAGCTGCTTAAGCATGATGTTTCTGCTTTTCTTAATTAAGAGAGGAATATGATGAGCTACCCCTGCTGGTGATGGGGAGCATGGCCGAGCCCTAACTATCTTAAAAGCAAATAGACCAGAGAAAGTACATCTTCTGCTTGTTTATTGATTTAGGACTCTTCCTGCCTGTTTCTGGGAAAGAAAAAATGAATAGAAGGCCACGTTCATTATTTCACTTTTAATTTCCTTTCTCCAAAGTAAGCACAGCAAAATTAGATTTAAGCTGATGCATATTCCACAAATAAATTACATGGAACGAGAGTGGTTAAATGAACTTTGCTTGGGGATTATTGGAAAGATAAATATTTAAACACTGAATTTGAGGTAAGTCATGTTTATGCAACATCTGGGTTTTTTTGTCGCTCCTTCCCCCCCCCGCTTTTTTTTTTTTTTCCTATTGTGGCTTTTCTAGTCAACTCAACCACGAGGACATGAAAGCCAGGGTGAATACCATCTTCAAAAACCCGTGTTTTCTGTATTGTTGCCAGAAGAGGGCTTTTTTTTTTTTTTTAGCAGATGATCTTTGCCTATTTTTATTTTCATATACAGCTTTGATTATATTTTACATTATATCTTAGAAGAATTCAAAGTAGATTTACAAGAATTCAAATTATCTCTTGGAAATAAAATAGCTTATGTTATGTAACTCTAAGCATTGTTCAAAAATACTTAAATTGCAAAAGAACTTAGAAACCTTTGTGCACTTTAGTGTATGAAGCTTACATTTTAAGAATTTTTTTTAAATTAATGGACTTAATGTGAAGAAAGCGCAGGATGACACTCTAGTAAACCAGGCTTAGAAACTCCACAAAAATTCTGAAATAGGAAAAAATAGGTATTACTTCCATTACATATGGAAAAATACAAACAATAATAGAGATGAAGACTGTGCTGCTTACCTATAGCCATCTACTTGTTAACTAAATAACCTTCCCTTCAGATTATGGAGGATGATAATGGTGCCTATAGGTATTGTGTAAGCATATCAAACTAGAATACTTCTTTCTCCAGTAAAAAGCATGATAAGCAGGTTCGTGAAGTCTTTAGGTGGCCGGATATTAAAGATTAATACAATAAAATGGTACCGATCTTTGTAAGCACCTAGTACAAAGTATCTTCAGCTTCTGTACATTGATGCAGCTGAAATGTTAAGGAGCAATGATGATCATCATCCTTGCTGTCGTGACGTCACTAAGGGAATCATGAAAGTAACTGGCTTTTTAGATTTTCGTGCTCATCTGATTAGGTGAAGCGCTTGTACCTGTAAGTCCGCTTTACTCTTACCCGGTAACTGGGATGCGTTGACGTTTATAGCCGCTAGAGTTATGTTGGTCAGACATTACACAACTGAAGTATCTACAGTCGTCAGAGTTTGGCAAACGGCATTTCATTTTCAAACTTGCATCTTGCTAAGAGTATATGGGTTTCAGAGCTAGAAGAAGTAAAAGGAGGAAGTATTTTTAGTGACCAGTCACAGTGTTTTTATGTAGAGGTCTCTGGGGAATGTTGCTATCTATAAAAATGTCCTACGGTGCCAGCAGGTTTCCTGGGCATTTGTGAACGGGATGGGGTGCGTTTTAGGCACGGGACCTAACGGGACCAGGTCTGTACAGTTCTGTGATTTCAAAGTTGATGTTTCATCAGGCAATTCCTTCAAAAATTACTGTGGTAAAAGTATGTCACACCCTGCAACTAACTTAGACTCCGTTCAGGGGGGGCAAAAAAAAAAAATTGAGTAGGATTTCTGCCCAAGAGCCTTCGTTTTGGCTCGAGTTTAGAAAAGAATAAACTGACAAGGCAGAAATACGTTTGTAAGAAGCGGGTGTCAAATCTCTGATGGCTACACAAATCCTGAGCAGTGAACCTCCATTCACCAGACTAATGGTGCTGCCAGCTGCCTCTAGTTACCATGGTTGTTTTGTTTCTGTGTAAAACACAAGTTAAGTTTATTTTGCCAGGTTCACTGGAAGGACATGACTCTTGTTGATATATTCAAGTAACAGGATTATTTTCCCTGCTGCTGCTGCTACACTGGAACTGTATGCACAGTACTCAAATTCCAGTTTAAAGGAAATCGTAGCGATGAATTCAGGAAGGAGAGAAGCATTAGGTACTTCTTACTCAGCACTACGGCAGACTCCCCATTCTACTTCGGATTTTTCAATAAAGTGCATTGAAAATACAGGTAGCATGTAAAATTAGCACGGTTCTTCACGAGCACAACATTGGCGGATAAGTATTCATGAGCTTTATAATTTTGTTAATTAATTGCTCGGACGTCAGAGTTGCAGCATCTGTTTCAATACCTTCTTTTTCACAGAGCAATTTTTGCATTGTTCATTGGTTTGGGCTGTTTGTTGGTTTGTGGGTTGTTTTTTTTTTAATTTCATGCCCAACTGTATCTTCTTGGTTCTTCTGCACATACTACATGGCAGTTCCAAAATGGTGATTTCAACAAAACGAGCATCCGAGGCTCGATAACTGTTGGCCTGCCATATATTGCAGACCAACAGATATACCCGGGTGTTTGAAATGATGCTAACGAATACTTTTGCAAACACTCTATGTTTGGATAACAAATGAAGTCTTCCAGAACAATATGGATTCCTTCCTCTTCTCAAGAAGAAAAAAAATCCTCTACCGGCTTTCGAGAAAAGAGGAAGGGAAAAACTGTATGTTTTAACTTTAACTGGTTTTTCTTAATTTTTGGCTGTCAGAATATGCTTCGTTTTGGAACTAAAGTATGTTCTGAATGCAGGCAGTTTAGCTATTTACCACTGTGCATCTCCAGGTCAGAGCTCAGGAGCTGTCGGAGCTTTTTGTGTCCATGAAGTCTTCTGGAACCCAAGGTTTTACTGCTTATCTATGTGTCAACTACTGTCCTCACTGCACTTGCTCTTTTTGAGCACCTATATCATTTGATCAGTGTCTTTTTTAACCGTTTTAATTTGGCAAATTTTTCTTACCTTCTAGCAAAAGCAAAGATCGATAATTGCAGTGTTTTCTGAATTTGATTGAATTTTCTGCATTTCCCTGTTCATTCAGTGTAATTATTAATATGTAGGATCAGAACAGAAGACCGGCCAGCCCTAAATCTTTTACAAAAACAACATATGCAACATACTGAAAATATCTTGACGCTTCAGAAGAGCAATACAGTCTTACTTTACAGATTTCAGGCATTTAAAATAGGTTCTGACCAGCAACTAATGAATCTTTCAACCTAATTTGGGTTTGCATCCAATTTGCAAATCAACCTAGCAATGTGGAAAAGGAATGTCTGATGTAATAACTTACGTCAACAGAAGAGCAAAAATCCAAAGCATTTCCAGCCTTGATGAGGATGACTTGATAACTTACTGCT